GAGGATATCATCTGGTTTATACCCATGTCAACAATATAGTCATAAATTATATGGGCAACAGAGATCCTGCAACCAACGTCGAAGAATATGGTACATGAAATAATTATATTGGAGATTTACTTCAAACAATTCCATGAATTGAAAATCAAAATAGGTAGGATGAATTTGGTTATTTCTTATACCTTCCGGTTTTTGGATTTCGTATGACAAGCCCTACACAGGTTTGCTGACCATCAGTACCAACAATCTGTAAGATGACAAAATCACAAAACATAAAACATTAGATAATAGGGAATGCGAAAAAAAAAGAATGGATAAATTTATTAAACCTATATGGTCCATATGGACCACCAGTCCCCCACACATGCAATGTTTAACTGCGCAGTTATATTCATTTGACTGCCTTCCTGATTGAGTTTTTAGCTGAAATTTGGTATGAGTAAACTAGACTTAATGAAGAAGATCGATGCTAAAAAAATCATCAAAAAATTCCACCGGGAATCGCCCCAATTGGCGATGGCCGGACAGAGCCTCTTATATAAGGGGTGAATTGCACCTAAGTTAGTTTGATGACATATTTGACCCTTTAGCCTACAATTTTTTATGAATGTCTTGATTTTTTTTGAATGATTATTATTATTATTATCATTATTATGCATGTTAGTTAAGATTTATTTTATATAAGATTAGGTCCATTTTAATTTTCCGCCTCTAGACCTTTAAACATGCAGGGCCGCCCCTGATCTTAAATGCATGAAGTGAACCACATATATATACTTTCTCATTATGTGCGGCCTCTTTATGTTGTAAGAGTTAAAAGGGCCTTCAAAACCACATACTTGCCGGCCTTGATTCATTCCTACCTAGCTAGAACAGATTTTATGATTAATAACATTTGAGCATCTTTACTCCATCTTGAAATTATACATTTGAAATATAATTAAATAACATAAACCTAGCTTATTAGATATCATATATAATTAATAAGCTTGTCAATTGTAGTTCGTGACACATGCGTGAGAGCAAAAATATTTACTTACGTCAACCATGTAAGGATCCACAGTGGCATATTCTTTTTCCTTGATATAAACCCATTTTGTTTCTCTTGTGACCAGGAAATCAGAATTGTCGCAAAGAGAAAAAGTTCTTTCTGGAAGGGCCCTATATGAAGAAGATGCAGACCTTAAAACAGGATGCGTCACCAAGGAGATGAGAATATCTACTACTCCCTGCTCAAAGCAACAAAAGACATGCAATGCATAAGAGCCGGTTTCAAAAGGTTCTACACAACAAGGCCTCCTAATTTATGGGGCTCCATTTTTTAAAAAAATTATTAGTATGATATGGTAATATTATACGATTGTATATTAATACTAATTAATCACTAATAAGCCTTTAATTAGTAAGGAAGAAAAGAACAATAATATCATTTTTCCGTCAGTCCTTTTACTCTCATTTTACTTAAATTTCTTGAGTGATAAATTGTGTTGATTTAAACCAAGTATTAATTGACTTTTAGATTTTTTTTATTACTCCCTCAGTCCCAATAAATTCTTCCCTAGTTTTGGCTTGCAAATTAAGGAAGTGAGAATAAAGCAGAGGGAGAAAGACAAAAAATGACACCAAGGTTTTTAACAAAGCTCACATTAAACACTAAGGTTTTAAGCAGACCAAATAAACACAAAACTATAGTTTTCTGTTCCAATTTAACCACCCTTTAACGCTAACTGTTCCTTGTCCTTAACTCCCCCATCCGATTGAATTACGGCGTTCTTTCAAACTTCAAGAATTCCAGAATTAGCTTATCCAGATCCCTTTCTTTCTCCTACCCACCCTTCCAATGAGTCAATCTCCATCCCCAGAAGATCTCTGAAGACCTTCTATCTAATCACACTCACTTTAATTTTCCCTCTGTCCTTCGCAATTTTGGCCCATTCCCTCTTCACCCACCCAATTCTCTCCAAGCTCTGAGATAACCCTCACGTCGACCACGCTGACCAGTGGGCTAAGCTTCTCCTCTTCCAATTCTGCTACCTCATCTTCCTCCTCGTGTTCTCACTTCCCTCCACCGTCGCCGCCGTCTTCATCGTCGTCTCTTCATCACCTTCATATGGGTTTCCTTCCTGATGTTGGTCGGAGCTCAGACTAGGGAGGTGAAGATCAGGGTTGGATCTGGAGCTAGTGAGGTGGCAACTGGCAAGGGCGGAATAGAGGCTGGGGAGGAACAGGGTGTTGGACTGGGGTGGGGCAGGAGCTAGTGCGGGTGTCGCTTGCAGGGCTTTTTGAATGAAGGGGAGTTAACGAAGGGCAACAATTGTTTAATGGAGGCGCTGTAGGGTGGTTAAATTGGAACCAAAAACTACAATTTTGTGTTTATTTGGTCTACTTAAAACCTTAGTGTCTAATCTGAGATTTGTTAAAAACCTTGATGTCATTTTTGGTCTTTCTCCCTAAAGTAGAAATGAATGATTATAGTTGTGTAAGAAAAAAGTAAATGAATGTGAACCACACAATTTTTTCAAAAGTGAAAGTAGGAAGAATTTTTTGGGACGGCCCAAAAAGGAAGGTTGGAAGAATTTAATGGGACAGAGGGAGTACGTTATTTAATGAGATTTGAGTATAAGTATTTAGATTTAGAGTTATAAAAAAATAATTAAAGTGTTATACTCCCTCCATCCCCCTAACTTTGTCTCATTTTACTCTTTCCGTCTGTCCCATTAAGTTTGTCTCAGACCATATTTGGTAATATGTGAGTGGTTAGAATTCATTCCTACTTTATTTACACTTTATCAATTCAATATCAAGCGCACAATTACACTTTTTCTTAAAAACAACACCACACCTCTTTGTCCCAAACTTAGGGGGACGGAGAGTACTCCCTCCATTCCTGAAACAATTTCCCATTTTCCTTATTTGGATGTCCCTAATTTAACTTCTCATTTCTCTAAATGAAAAGTTATCTACATCAAAACAGTGCAAAATAGTGTCAAACAGTGTCGAAACAGTGTCAAATCGCTAAAATTTATCTCTGGTAAGTTTATTTCCTCAATATGTGTAAATAAAACATGGAAGTTGTTTCGGGGACATATGGAGTATACTCTTGGAGTTGCAGTGACTGGGGGTTATAAATATATAATAAAAAAGTAAATTGTAATAAATTGGCCGGTAATTTCATTTTTTTTTAACCTCAGTGGGGTCAAGGGATGAGGCTGGGAGCCTGGCGTAAATAGTCTAAAACTGTCTACGTAAAGTCTTGAACTCAAGACAACCTCCGATAGCTAGAATGATTTAGGGAGTGTTTGCGGTTGCTTGTGCTTTTTAAAAGTGATTTTTTTAAGAGATTGTTGGAAAAGTGATTTATAGTAAAAGTAGGTAGTGTTTGGGAATAGAAGTGATTTTAAAAAAATGTAAAGTTGGAGTGTTTGGTAAAAAAAGTGATTTTTAGTGGAGTATTTTGTTAAAGTAGAAAAATGCCCCTCAAATAAATTAATATTACTCCTTACTGAATGCCCAACATTCCATCGTTCAATCTAAGTTTTTCTCACACCTTCCCAACAGGCTAGAAGCTCATTCGAATCCTAACATTGCATTCAAAAAGTGTATATTATTGTTTAGAAATTAGAAAGAATAGTACTTTGGACTTGAATACTCTGTTCCATACTTTCTGCAGAATACTCCTACATCACTCCTCGCATACTCCGTTCATACTCCGTTCCAGACTTGGTTCGGAAAGAATATATTCTACCCTTAAATCTAGGATTCTCAACACTTTCTGTCTTTTAATACTTCTAATTAATCCTCTTAGTTCAGAAAAAACTTTTAGATCTCTTCAATTTCAAATCAAATTGTGGAGCTCTCCGTCGAATCTGTGTACTGCTTGGCCACCAGCAGCGACATCGCACGACACATTCGTCTTCATCACCGGCGGAACATAGCGGCGGCAGAACAGAGCGGCGGCGGCGAACAGCTTGGCCACCGGTGGTCCTAGATTCTACTGATAATTGATGAAAGTGGAAGGGGTTCTTTTATGTTGGAAGCCGTTCTGGTACGAAGGATGTGACGAGGACGAAGGGTAGCTTTGGGGATAAAGGAATTTGTTTAGGAATTGAAATGCCCTTAAAGTTTGACTTATTTACCAAAAAGCCTAGAAGCAGATAAAAGCATCATCAACCTAGCTTCCAACTTCTGGCTTAAAACTACTTAAATTAAGTAGAATTTTTCATTTGCAAACACTACTTTTGACTTTTTAAAAGCCAAAAGTCCAAAAGTGCTTAAAATAAGCAATAGCAAACACACCTTTAATTAGCAACTAGTTATTGCTATGAAGCATATCCTACGTTTAAATTTCATTGATTACATACACATAGTCTAGTTATTGCTATGGAAACTATGAAGCTTTCAACTCAACACCTATATGTAAATTTCATTGATTACATCATAGACCTAGATCAGACTAGTTATTGCTATGAAGCATGCTTCTTCAGTTTCTTAAAAGTCCCAACATTACGATTTTTGCATGATTCACATATATTACTTAGATTACGATTTTCTACTAATATGTATAATCAAATTATTATGTATAAAATGTTACTAGTATTAAATTTCTATTAATGTGAATTTCCAAAATATTAACTTTTTATAACTTTTAATTTACTAATACATAATTAAATATAATTACAGTCAAAATAATGTATTGACAAACGTGAAAGTCAAAATGTTGCAACGTTTAAAGAACAGAGAATATTATGTTTTTATCCAAACTATAGCTAGTACGAACCTTTATAAAAAGTTAAAGGCATTGTGAAACAATTGGAATAATTATACATTTTGAAAACATAATACGGAGTACTACGTATAAACATATTTTTAGGATTGCGGATTTTGCACTTTAAAAACATAACCATTTACTCGATCGCTGTGTTACGACAACCCACATTTGTGTATGTACTTGTTTGTAAAAGTGTAAGAGCTAGAGGTATGGGTAATTTGTGAAATAATGGGAAAGAGGTACTCCAATAGGAGTCCTGACAGATATATTTATAGTAGAAGAGTTGCCAAAATACAAAGTATTCCTAAATCGATATTAGGCAGATTCCTAAATATCTATTAAGTAGATTCCTAATTATATTAGCCTATTACACCCCCTCAAACTGTGCGGGAGATACAACGCGCAGGTTGTCTTTTAAAAAAAAATGAAATTGCAAACTAAAAAAACACTCTTAGTAAATATATTCGTGAGCGGAAGATTAGAAGGCACATCTTTGACAATAAGATCTCCATGAGAATATATGTCTGCAGCAGCAAGCGGCGAACTCAACAGCGCGCTTGAAGCAAGCACCGTGGTCAGCGACGCAGAGAAGGTGGGCTGCGCGGACATAGGCAGCAGCAGGCGGCGAACTCAACGGCACGCTGGAAGAAAGCACCGTGTTCAGCGACGCGAAGGAGGTGATCTGCGCCATATTAACTGCGCTCATCTTCAAAGGATCGAAGACTACCGTAAATGTGGCGGCAGTCGACCCCGAGGCGGCGGCGGCTATAATAAGGTTCATGGGAACCGAAAAATAAAAGAGAAAAAAAAATGTGTCTAAAAACCTAAGCTCTTGATACCATGTGAAATAATGGGAAAGAGGTACTCCAATAGGAGTCCTGACAGATATATTTATAGTAGAAGAGTTGCCAAAATACAAAGTATTCCTAAATCGATATTAGGCAGATTCCTAAATATCTATTAAGTAGATTCCTAATTATATTAGCCTATTATAATTAACCAAATTTGGTTTGGTATCCAATTGAAATTATATATGGATTTTGATAGTAATGAATCCACTATAGGAATAAAGAATCTAAATTTGGTTTCGTACCCAATTGATTCAAAAGTAGTGCTCAAAAGGTGAATTGGTATATTATACTCCGTATGAATGTATCATGCACAAGCAATGGCACATTCAAATCATGAAATAAGATTTGTCTAATACCCGCAAAATCTGTTTTTTCAAATACAAAATGAGCATTTTTAAGTTCAAATCAGTGTTGTATTAAATGAATGAGTGGAAAGAATTACAATTTTGATGACAAGGGCATTCTTGAGTTACGAAATTAGTAAAGGTTGAAGATCGAAGTTGTAAAATTCACGTCAATATCATTTTCTTTCAAAAAATCATACTCAATTATATTTATTTAGCATAAAAAACATAAGCTTCATTAATATCTAGTTGACATAATCACAACTCTTTCATATACTACGTATATCGTTTCCAACAAGAGAGGACCAAGAGGGTAGTGGAGGGCGGGTGCCGCTTCTAATACCAATGACAAATTAATGGTGGTGTTTCTAATTTCTATGTTCGAAAAGGTTGAATCATTGACTCGACAAGATATTTGTGTGGATGTAAGTCACAATGACGTAACCAATCCAATAGTGATAGACATTGTATCCGTACGTGCACCATAGGTTCCATCCAGTACACATAAGTTGTAACCTCCATACGGTCGCTGCGAGTATTAATCTTTGGTCAATGTTAAAACTTTTTACCACTTAACCAACTGAGCTACCCATGCGATAATCATGTTTCTACTTTCTAGCTCAGTGGGCATAGACTTGAAAGTAGCTTATTTAAAATATTTAAAAAACTTAAAAAACAAATAATAAAAATTTTAAAAATATGTAGGCGTCGCCATTGCATCCTGCACTTCTCAGCATCACCAATTCCAATCGATGCAAAATATGTCATCTTGTGTAAAAATGTCACATTTCTTTGAATATAACATGAAAGAGCGAATTTAGCTATTCTTTGAAAATATTGAACTTTATGTTTTAATTTAACTATTTAAAAAAAACCTATTAAGCATGGCAAAGGAAAGGGTAAGACACGAAGAGTTACTCTATTTTTGGAATTTAAACATTATGCTCATATTAATACAATTTTGCTTTTATTTACTCATATTAAGGGAATTGTCCCTAAAACAAATAAAAATATAATTTTTAATGTAAAACTTCTATATCAGTCTTTTGGAAGGACTTGGCCAGACCAACGTTAGTTTTTTTTTTAATGCAGACCCTCATAGCTGCAATGTCTAGGGAAATCGAGAATTCATCACTGGTTCAGTACCAGAAGATACACCCTTATACTTCAGATTATATTGAAATAATCAATAATTAGGATTATCTATGTGAATTTTTCCTTAACAAAAGCATAGGTTGTCCGTTAAAGTACCTGAAATGAAGATGAATCCACATGACCAAGAGCCAGTTCGACTCCATTTACGAGTATCATATTGATGACAAGGGTTTGACCTCAAGAAAATATGTGAAGATGGGTGGTTTTACTGTTTGAACAGAAAAGATATATATGCAGTTAAATTTGATACGAAGTATATCACTAGATTTTTCAATAGTGTATTACGAAATATTATGCAATTCTATTTACTCTGATCTCCTCCCCCATTTATAAGCCGTAGCTGATATCAAGCTTCAATAACAAGTAATATCAATTAAATAATTTATATGCGGAGCATAAAATTAAAACTTTGGTAAGCGGTGTATTGTTAAATATAAAATATGGAATGATAATGTAAAAATAAAGCATTAAAGAAATTAGGCTAAGCAATAGGAGTTTTTTTCATCAATGGGTATCGAATAAAGTTTACAGTGTAATATAATACTCCGCAGATGGTGAATTAGAATAGAACATTACTCCATATATATCTCGCTAAAATTGAATCATCTTTTATTTTAAGTCCGTTACATTAAGATTGTTTCAAACTAATATTGCCAAAGTTTGTGTTGTTCTAAATCGTTCTAAATTTATTTTTACTTTAACCGCATCACTTTTCTTAATAAATGCATCACTGCACCTCATCATGTTTCAATGTTAGTGGAACAGGTAGTAAATGGTATATTGGTGCAATTAAATCAATATAAATGATAGAATTAAATGTTGAAATAATAGGGTGTAAATATAGATTTAGACTTTATGCAAAGCTAGCTCAAGTCCTTTGCCTAAAATATTACTTGTACATTTTAAGGAAATGGTAAATTATGAGTTTTAGTTTTTTTATTCCAAAAAAAAAAAAGTTTTTTCGATTCAATTTTTGGACTAAAAATAGATTAGTTCTAATCGTAATAAGTTTTTAAAATGAGAAAATATGTTTGGCATATGTAACTTTGTGTTTTGCATGTCTAAATTTGACAATTCAACTAAGAAAGAAAATAAAAATTGGCCTGCATTAAAAAAAAAAAAAAACTAACGTTGGTCTGGCCAAGTCCTTAGCTTCCGAAAAGACTTATATAGTGATATAGAAGTTTTAAATTAAAAATTGTATTTTTATTTGTTTTAGGGGCAATTCTCTAAATATGAGTAAATAAAAGAAAATTTGTATTAATATGAACATAATGTTTAAATTCCAAAAATAGAGTAACTCTTTGTGTGTTACCCTTAATAGGATTTTTTAAATAGTAAAATTAAAGCATAAATTTCAATATTTTCAAAGAATATCTAGATTCGCTCTTGCATGTTATTTTCAAAGAAATGTGACATTTTCACACAAGATGACATATTTTGCATCGATTGGAATTGGTGATGCTAATAAGAAGTGCAGGATGCAATGGCGACACCTACATATTTTTAATAGTTTTATTATTTGGTTTTTAAGTTTTTTTTTAATATTTTAAATTTTTATTTATTTCTTTTTTTGTTTATTTTAATGTTATTCTTTTTTTCCTGTTTTTATTATTAATTTATAAATATTTTTTATTATTTTGAAAAATAAAATTATGACTTTTTTTATTAACAAATAAATTTATTTGGAATTATAGGAAGGGGATAGAATATGAAGAGGGAACATTTTACATATACTCTATATATATTACTCTTATTATGAGAATAAAAATATTGTAATCGTATCATTGGATTTAAGAGGCTATTTAGGATTAACTTAAAAAAAAGCACTTCTCAGCTTTTGGCTTTAAAAAGCACTTATTTACCAAACACTTCCAATTTTTACTTTTTCTCGGCTTGCGTGTGAAAAGTGCTTTTCCCTTTTCTATTACACAAAAAAGCACTTATTTTACCAAACACTACCAACTTTTACTTTTCAAAATCACTTTTTTCTCAAACACTATCAACTTTTACTACTAATCACTTTTTCATTACATCTCCAAAAGTGCTTTTTTTAAGCAAAAGCAGTTGCAAACACTCCCTAAATAAGAGCCTACTTTTATTTGCTTTTTGCTTTTTGATGTATGTAGTAACCGGGGATGCGGTGACCGGTGTAGTTAATATCTGTATATCTAGGCTAGTAGACTTACATGACAACCAAACTCAACGTAAGAAAATACTAAGTACCGACCAATTTTGCACTCATATTATTATACTAGTTTTGTAACGCGCGTTGCGCGATTAGAATAGTGCCCAATGTATTCTGTAACCCAAATATTTAGTTATATTTTTGCAATTTGTATTATATTGACAAAGAAAAAAACGTGAAACTTTAAAAACAAATATACATCTCAATTAAATGTGAAGTCACAACATTTATCGTACAAGTAATTTGTCATACAAAACAATTGACCTACGTGAAAGTGGAAAGGATGGATGTCACCCTATTCTTTTAAGGAGTTTATTTGAAGAGACTTCTATGAGTCCTTTATCCAGAAAATGTTTTTTTTTACATTGGGGAACAGTAGTGGAATCTAAGGTAAAACTGCAAAAAGGATGTGAAGATCAAAATAGATATTACAATACAGGTGCTGAAATGAAATTCTGACCCAAGATTTGCACTTTCGGTTTACTTGCAAGTTGCAACTATCTTTTGTTGTATCCCATTGGGGGAATGGGAGAATCAGAGAATGGGAGAATGATAATGTCAAATACTCTTTACTCACACTCTCATGTAGATATTTAATTTTGAGGAGAGAATATATACTACGATTTCCAGCAGCATGGTCAAAAAGATGGTGGCCATATTCAGTTTGCATATGAGCACCACAAGGTGTGGCAATATCTGTATGGTCTTTGATCGGTGGCATACAAAACCCGAGTTACACCGGTACACTATAGTACGATCGCCCATTTTACGGTTTAAAGTAAAGTATCACAGCCATGACTTTTATTAGGCACCTGATGTACACATCACACATGAAAAAAGCACGAGGCAAAGGAAACTATGAAAAATTGAAGCTCACTTACAAAGTCAGTAGCTCCTAGCTCAATTACACCTCCCAAGTGCAGAAAGCATACAACAGTCTATGAGACAAAAACATCAACAATTAAAAAGCCATTCTGAATTGAAATCAGTAGCAATTTGCTGAAAGGTTTATACAGAAAGGAGAGACCATATTAAGTAACGATGTTGGTAAAAAATGGTTTACCTGAATAGACGCACTCTGGACGGCCAGCTATAATAGAACATACATACGTAGTAGAGGAGGCATTTTTTGAAGACAAAAAAGATAGTGTCATCAGATTGTGTATCAAAATATTAAACAATGCTTCTTTTTTTGCGCAGGCTAGACGGGGTTTGGGTAAGAATTGCTCCACACAGTAGAGGAGGCGTTTTTTAAAGACAAAAAAATAGTGTCATGAGATTGTGTATCAAAATGTTAAACAATGCTTCTTCTTTT